CCATAACAGTCAATAAGTGGTGGGTTTTCACTTAATATTTAAACGTTTCTCCCATGTCTGACAAACTGCTTTTGTACTCATCTAGAAAGTTTCTCTTGCATGGAAGCAGAGGTTTAAGAAAGACAGAGTGATAAGCAAACTTTAACCTCCAGGACATCCTCTCACTCCCTTCCCCTGGCGAGGGTCTTAGCGCTTGCTTTCTTTTGATTAGCATTTCCTTCCATTTTTCTTCACATTATTCATAACCCAGCCCATATTTTCCCACCGTAAACAAATCTCACTTCTGTGGGGGAGGTTTCCTTCTAGTTCTTTAAAAGAAATTAATAGTGTTATTTTTCTCCCAGGCTGTTCCCTAATGACCCAATGAACTATTTATTTTAATTGCACCCATGTGCCTTTATATTGGGGGGTTATGAAGGCCCAATAAAATAAAATAAGCCAGGCAATCAGAACTGCCAGAGAGTGCCTGGGATGCCCAGACCCAGTGAAATACACACTTTAGCACCTTCTTATAATTGCACATTTATAAGAGGCAAAGGACAACAAAATGCTCTGGGGTTTAAACAATCACAGTGATCTGAATTCAGGCTGTAAGTCTGTACGTCTTTCAAGCAAAAGCTCCTTTCCCCATTTCCACATGGGTCATTTGGTGCAGTGTGCAATTAGAGAAAGAAAGCAGCAAAGCTAGGTTACTTTGTGTAGGTTTAACATGCAAAAATACCCACAGTTTCTAACTCAGATAATGGCAGGCATTGTGAGAAGGAGGCAGCTGTTTTGCTTTTTTCTAAAGCTCACAATCACTATTTACTAAGCTGCCTTATTCCACTCAGATTTTTCTTAAAACTTATGAATGGGCCCAATTAAAAAAAAATCCTCTTCAGAATATTGATGCCTGCAAATCTGCAGAGTCAGACTCAGGAGCTTATTAACTGGTCACAATGAATGTACACCATCCTCAGGCATGTGCCAATAATTGAGGCTGTTCCATTATTTCCAAAATAATAATAAACATCACTCTACTTTACATAAGACTCTTGGCCCTATGATCTCAAAATTCAATGACACATCTTTTCAAAACTGCTATGTGATACAGAATTAACATGAAAAATCTAACCACATCACATCAGAAGTTTTTTGAAAACTAAATGTATACCGGACGGATACGAAGCACACGCTAACGAGAAGGTATCTGGATGCCCCCTTCCCTCCTCTCTTCAGACCTCAGCCCTTTTCCACTTTTGCCTGACATCTTCCATGTCAATCAACACCCTCTGTGATGGTGGCCTGACTGTTCACAACGTCCCTACACAGCTGCTGAATTCCAAAATGCAGGTTATACCAGTATAAAGGAGGCAGGCCTGTATATAAACAATCTTAATGTCAAAAGATGGAAACATCTTAAGAGAAAGCTGCTTGGAAAACAGGACATTCAGTTATTTTCAATCTAGTTGAATTTAGTCCGGTTATTCGGGGATGAAGCATCAAATCTATACATTTAAAAACTACCAAGTCATTTGCAAGGCCCATATCCTCACTCCATCACTCGTGGTTGGGTATGTCGGGGGAGGGATCTGGAAGGAGTAGCTCTTAATAAAACAAGATGTATGTGCCTAAGGTATGCAGAAAAAGATGGACTGCTGTCAGATCATGTCCATGGTTCAGGAAGAGAAGAAACAGAATGGTATATGATTTGTTTATACAATATAAAACAAATCATACAAAATATGCGGTTCATATCCAAGTCTAAAGATTTTTTTTACACCATTCCTTTTGTATTTCACGGACACATTATCACTGGATAAAGAGAAAACAAGTATTTTAGTATCAATCTGTACTCTGGTCCTAATTCCAAACATCTATAAGTGGGCAAAGTTATAAAACAATTTTCAGTGATATATTAGGTCCTTTCTAAACTTGTTAATTATGAGTTTAGAAACTATTCTTTTGAGTGCAAAACTAAATCTCTGCCAAACCAGAGGGACAAAGACAGGTACCAGTGTGTTCTTAAATTTGCCGAGAGAGCGAGCGAGAGAGAGAGAGAGAGAGAGAGAGGGAGAGAGAGAGAGGGATTTCCTGATCCTTTTTTTTTTTTTTTTTGTGGTACGCGGGCCTCTCCCGGTTGGGGCCTCTCCCGTTGCGGAGCACAGGCTCCGGAGCACAGGCTCCGGACGCGCAGGCTCAGCGGCCATGGCTCACGGGCCCAGCCGCTCCGCGGCACGTGGGATCCGCCCGGACCGGGGCACGAACCCGCGCCCCCTGCATCGGCAGGCGGACTCCCAACCACTGCGCCACCAGGGAAGCCCTGATTTCCTGATCCTTTCAGTTTGCTTGCCCAAGTCTCACAGGCCTTGCGGTTGGAAATATCCTCATACTTCTATTTTGCTGCAGTAATGGCGCCTTCCTTCGGATTACTGAAGGAGGTTAGAAAAAAATGGATCACCTCCTGCCTTAGGATTTTTCCTCTCTACCTGATTTATAAAGAGGCCCTTTAGGGAGGTAGAATGAGATCTGGATTAAGTCCTGGTTACAACTCCACCATACACTAGCTGTGGGACCCCAGGCAGGTCACCTCCCCACACACTGCATATGCTCCTCCCAGCTCTAAATGGTACATCTCAGCCTTACTGGAAAGGTATTCTCTTCTTTCCTTTTTTTTTAAATTGGCTTAAGTGAATTTTATTGGTTTTCTTTATTACTGGAGGTATTCCACTGGGCAGACTTGCAGGCATTTCAAAGGAATGCACATACAAGTACAGAATAAATACAACCAGAAGATATTAATATATCAATAGCACTAATATTAGTTATAACCTACTGGTAGTGAGATACTTTTACTAAACACTCTCCCCCTCTCTCACAAGGAAGGCTTGAAGGATACAGACCACAGTGTTTGCACGTTCTTGCTTCCACGTGTTTTTCTGTATTCCTTCACAAAGTCTTGAAACTTTCAGTAAGGAATGATTTTATCCAGAAAAAAACCCGAATGATTGTTATTTTCCCACAGGGTATATGTTTTAGATTCGAGAAAACACAGACCAACCTGTGGAAAACATTTGCAAAACTCTGAATAGAACTGGGCTACAGTTAATGACCTTGGCACCTGGCAGAGCTTACAAACCGGTAGGCGCTCAGCCTGTCACCTGCCCTTGAAAGCAGCTCCTTTGCCCCTTTCCTGTTTGCCCATTTCTGTTCCCTTCTAAGCTTAGAAGAACTTAATTATAGGAATGAGATCACTAAGCAACTGAAACTAACTCCTGACTTATGTTCTCCTGAAAGCGCACCATGCCTTGTCTAACCTGTGGATTCTTTTCCTAGATTTTAAGAAGTAAGAATGAAGAATTAAGCAGTTAAAAATGACTAGCTCTCTACCCCCAACAGTCCCCTTAGCAATCCTGCAGGAGATGATGGGGGCAAGATAACATGTGAAGAGAGAGTCAGCCAGTCTGCATTCAATGGACAAGGATGCAGAACCCAACCTCCTGCCTCGATGATTCACTGAGATTCTTTTCCCTTTAAAAACTGTCATGGCTGAGCAGAATCTTCAGAATTGGTCTCTGGACACATGTCCCCTTCTCCCCAGACTGCTGGCTTTTCTGATTAAAGCACTCTCCTTTCTACTGACACTTGCCTCTCGAGTTATTGGCTTATGAGCAGCAAGCAGCCGAACCTCGGTTTGGTTACACCCTTATTACTGTCTTCCTTCCCCGAACTAGCCAACCACAGTCAGCTTCTCAAGAAAATTCTACTCCCAAGAGGACAGAATATTTGTCGTGCTATTTAGAGAAGTCTTCAGTGCCAACTATGAAAGGTCGAAAGAAATTTTGGTGAAAAACAATCCAACTCTTTTCAAATAGTTGAATAAACTTCACAAATAAACACGCTTATTATCCTATGATAATGAGGCATACAAATTCCTCCAAACTTTGAAAACAGAGCCATGCAAATGCATTCCTCAGGCATGAAGGCCTCCCTCACAAAAATGTCTGAGGCAGGCCTTTTGCTATCGTTGTATTCCATCGGCTTTTGTGATTCCAGAGCACGGCACTGAAATGAGGAGTGAGGCGCCATGTTTTAGAACTAGATAAATTACACTTTTACGGCAACCTTAGAGAATGAATTTTGGAGGCTCTACACGAGCTGCTTGATTTGTGTTTCTTGCTTTTGGCTGGGATGTGCAAAGGCTGAGTCATCCACCTTCCCAAGCCCTGTTCCACAGTACACAGCAAAACCCTACTAACTCTGTCAGAGCAAGTCTGCAACAAGAGGCTGATGACTTAATATAAATATTCAGAGATTTCCATAAAAGTTAATCAAAACATGTATTACAAGCTTCTAGATCCAGGACCCCCCCCCCCGCCCTCTTGTTCCCCCCAGTCTCTAGAACCAGGCCCCCCCCCCCCGCCCTCTTGTTGCCCACAGTCTTCTGAGAGAGCTGTGGCTAAGGGGTGGGGTCTATAAAACTCTCTGGAACCAGTAACCATACGAGTTGCAGACAGGTCAGCAACGATCATTTTTTCCCCTTTCAGTCATCTTCAGAAAAAAAATACATCACCAACACAACTGTTTCCTCTTTAGAAAGAATTCAGCCTTTCTTTGCCATGTACATCAAGGAACAGTTAATAGTGACTTACACGATAACTCAAAATATTTACTCACACACAGATTAGACGCAGCCAGGGCATAAAATTAACATGAGCAGCATGCACACATGTACACAAAAGGCATTTTGTCTGGACGGCAGGAGAATGGCGCTAGTCCTGCCGGTGGCTGACTTGCTGAGGCTGGGAGACCAGGAGGTAGATGGCTGCCAACAATGTAGAGAAGAGCCTTGCCTGGCACTCTGACGTCCAAGTACCCCAGCTAAATGCTTTTCAAACCCCTTCCGTTGTGGAAGCGTAACCAATCAATGGAAATACCACCCACCGTCATCTCTGATCAGGTGGAGGCCCTGGAAGCAAGTGGAGGAAACGAACTGCCCAGACGCCCAAGTGTTCGCCTACCTGCTGGGACCTCAGGATGGCCGCGTCAATCTCCTCCACCTTCTGTGTGATGGTGTTGGTCACCAAGCGGTAGCGGTCGTTGTCCTCGGCCACCATTTTTTCCAGCCCTTCCCTCGCCCTCCAGGGCACCAGCTCCAGGAGAGCAGAGCTCACTTCGTTAAGGGAGTCCAGCAGGGCTTTGCTGCTCTTAGCTTCCTTCTTTAGCTCCTGAAAACAGAAGGAAGAAAACACAAACCCGTGGGAAACGCCAAGTCTGAACGGGCTTCTCCTCTAACTGTCCTTGGGGCTAAAGTCCTTCACAGGCCAACGTGATGCACGGATCCCCTTAGTGTCAGTTACCCCAGTTCTATACCCCTTGGTTACTGAAAGCTATTCTGCAGAAAGGAAAGTGTTCCCTGAGAAGTTCCAAAGAACACTTCCTTTGTCAACATGGCAAGACTTTAGCTTTGAAATGTAATATAAACGTTAAAAAATTGGGAACCCGAACCCGGCAAGTTAACCCAGCAAGTTAATCCAGCTTGCTGGTAACCTTGAAGTAATCAGGTGCCGGAAAACTAAAGAGGAAAGTCCAAACCAGAATCCAGTGACCCTCAAAACGAGGACACACTGGCTTTAAATCATCCCAGTTGAATCACTATAGGCTCAGTGGACCTGACCTCCCGGACTGCCTTCACCCATGTGTGATAGTACTGCAGGATGATAAAAACCGAGGAGGACAACTCTAAGAAGGATGATCAGCATGAGAGAATACCACTCTTGCAATATAATTAGAAAAGCCACCTCATGCTTGGCATCTATCTTACAAAGGTATCACTATTCTAACCAAATTATGTGTATCTCTGAAACAGTGATCATTTTCCTTTTTTTTTTTTCTGTTTTCATCATTCTGTTTCTATAAGACTCGAGAAACAAATGACAATATGCTGTTTTCATGTCAGGGCTCCTAAAAGTTTAAATAGCTGATCTGCTGCCAATTTCTGTTGGGTCCACGCCCACCAAGGCATCCTTAAGTATATTAGTAATGACACGTGATGAATATCACTTTGCCCCTGTGTGAATAAGGCTCCCTGAGAGATAACAAGCGGATCCAAAGAGTGTATAAATCGGAGCGTACTTTTTGCCTCGCGTGTGCTTGGCTTGAGGCTTCTCCCTTCAGAACCTGCGTTTCGTATGAAAGCAACTCGACCTCCACCTTGTCCAGCCAGGCGCACAGCCCCTCGTGCGTAGAGTGCAGTCGCCTGGCGAGCTGCAGTGCCTGATCCAGGGTCTTGGCGACGTCCGTGCTCAGTTTAGTGATGTCTTGGTACCTCGCTTTAATGGCTTCCAATTTATCTTGAATTATTAAAACGTCATCACCTAGAATTTCAAAGGCATGTCATATCTCATGAAAGGGGAAGAAGAGTTCTTCAGCTAAATAAGTTCTGACCCAAGAAAAGCCCTTTCCTAGGTTTGAATTTTTCTGAGGATATCTGGCAAATGTAAACAGTTCTGAAAATGCAAATATAAAAAATGTAAAGGGCTATGTGGAAAGCACCACCTTTGCAACTATTTGTATGGTCTTTCTGTTTTCAAGCATCGGGGTTAAAAACTGCCTAGGTTTGCATACTGAGTTTGTGGCTTACTACCTTGCACAAGATACCTCACCTCTCTCGGTGCCCCTGGTTACTTATTATTACGAACAGAACCTACTTCATAAAGTTGTGATAAAAATTCAATGAGTTTATATTTGCAAAATGTTTAGAATAGTGCCTGCCACATATATACATTTATATATGTATAATCTATGCATGTGTGTGTGTGTGTTAAAAATAATAAACTCGGGGCTTCCATGGTGGCACAGTGGTTGAAAGTCCACCTGCCGATGCAGGGGACACGGGTTCGTGCCCTGGTCCGGGAAGATCCCACATGCCGCGGAGCGGCTGGGCCCGTGAGCCATGGCCGCTGAGCCTGAGCATCCGGAGCCTGTGCTCCGCAACGGGAGAGGCCACAACAGTGACAGGCCCGCA